CATCCGGAAAACTTTGGACGTTATCCAACACTGTACACAAAACTCAAGGGTAAGCTCGGCTTTGATGGCGATTGACATCGAGAAGGCCTTTGATTCGCTCGAAATACACTTTCTGAAAGCATTGATTGATCGTATGAACTTTGGCCCAACATTCAAAAGCTTGATTCAAGCTATTTATAAAAAACCTACGGCACGGCTGTTAGTCAACGGTGACCGATCACAGGACTTCACCCTATTCAGAGGCACCAGACAGGGATGCCCCCTGTCCCCCATCCTATTTGTGCTGGCTCTCGAACCCCTGGCTTGCGAGCTGAGATCTAACAAAAACTTTGAAGGCATTCAAATCGACAAAGTCCAACACAAGATCAGTCTATTTGCTGACGATGTCGTATTGTATGTCCAGAATCCGGTCAAGTCTTTAACCGGGATTCAAAAATCGCTCAACGATTTTGCCGAGGTCTCAGGATTGAGGGTGAACCAAACTAAGACCTTGATCTATCCCATTCGGGTTAGTCTATTGGAAGAAAGAAAGATTAAAGCCACTTTCCACTACCATTGGATTCAGGGTCATTTTCAATATTTAGGGATAAAAATACCACTAGACCTCACGAAGCTCATTCAATTAAACCACGGGGAAACACACAAAGAAGTTAAGCAATCAATGAGCGAATGGAACGCGAAACCTCTGTCATGGCTCGACAGAATAGCAATAGCGAGATCATTCATACTTCCGAAGTACCTCTACCTGTTTAGAACAATGCCATTAAGCATTCCGGCACAAATGGTGAAAAAGTGGCAAAAGGATCTCAACTCTTTCGTATGGAGCAAGAAACCAGCAAGGACAGCATATCGCACCATGATAGCGCCAAGAAGAGAGGGAGGCTTAGCGATCCCCGACCTAGAAAGTTATCGAAAGGCAGCAATCATGGCATCCACTATACGCCATTATCACGATACAGACATCCTAGACTGGAGAAGCATTGAAGAATCCAACCTCGAAGGGGCTTCCTTTCAGGAATTAATGTGGCACAAAAACTACAAAGTCATCGAGAGCAAATTAAAAAATATATTCACAAAAGCAGCACTCAAAACATGGTATGAAGTCAAACCGAAATTAATTTCCAAAAACTCCTTACTCAGCACCTTCACGAGGCAATCCTGGTTCAAACCTGCGGAACAACCACTCACCTTTGAGACGTGGAGAGCTAAAAAAATAAACAAAATACAAGATGTCGTCCATAACGGGGCAATGCGTCTGAAAAGTGAGATAGAGGCTACGCATCAAACGTCGTTAAATTGGTTTGAATATCTACAGGTGCAGAATTTGATTTTCTCGTCAGAGTTCGATGCAACGAGTAAAGGGCAATTTACGGGGTTAGAAAAGCTTCTGGATTCACCACCTCCAAAAAAAGGACTTCTAGCGAAACTATACAAATCGTCGTTTCCACTCAAGCCCCCAAACAACACAACTACCAAAGAGCTTGGAATGCGGATCTGGAAAACACATTATCGGAAGATCAGTGGGAAGAAATTTGGCGCTCCCAAAAATCCCTGTCTAGAACCCTTGGATTACAAGAATCGAACCTGAAAATTCTTACTAGGTGGCATTTAACTCCCGCTAAACTATCCCATATTTATCCATCGACATCTCCATACTGCTGGAAGAAATGTGGGCAAAAGGCAGATTTTTACCACAATTGGTGGTCCTGTAAAGTAATACAGAAATTTTGGTCACAGATAGGTACCAGTATCAACAATCTACTAAATACAGACTTACCTTTATCGCCGGAGTTGATGCTGCTCCACCTCTGGCCGCAAATCCGTCCACCTGAAGACACAAAGAAATTAGTTAACCTGTTGTTAGAAGCAGCAAAAATAACTATTGCCAAGAACTGGAAAAGCAAAAACGCTCCGACTATAACCCAATGGATCAATAAAGTTTGGGACATATTTATGTTAGAAAACATCTCAATACATGATACGGAAATAAAAACCGAGCATGAGTTCTATAACCCTCTAAATATTTGGAATCCCATTTTGGGGAAGATAGTACTAGACAACTTCGAATGGGTAAGCATAGTGGAAGCAAAATATAAAATAATGTTATACAACTGATAAGATGGAAGTGAATATCACTGGCTTCCAGAAGACGAGGTTGGTTAACGGAGGTACATTGTTCGACCACTGTCTGTTGTATGTGTCAATGGGGTTCAGGACATAGTGTTTTTGATCTCTGATTTGGATGATTGTTAACGTTTAGTATTGTATCTTATGGTTTTGAAATGTTCTCAATAAAAATATATTTAAAAAAAAATCATCTTCCTAGCCCCACTGCCGACATCCCTCAGGATAGGACGGGGGCTGGGAGGGGGCCGAGTTTGTATTCTGTACAAACTCTCTTTTCCTCTACATGGCAGTCTGCACATGGGTAGAGCTGTCTTCAGATGAATGCTGGAAGTAGTATGACCTTTTCAGTTCTCTAGACCCATTGAACTCTTTGATGTAAGAAAAAGTAACACCCTAAAAGAGTGAAGGGATTCAGAAAGAGAGGAGCATGGTCCAGATCAGCATTTATTTATTTAATCAAATTTCTACCCCGCCCTCCCAACCAAGGCCAGCTCAGGTCAGCTTACCTAAGAATAAACACATAAATTACATTAAAACATAAATTACAGTTAAAACAATTCTAAAACCATCTAAACCATCCAACATAATAAAGTGCTAATAGTCACTATTGTTAGTTTAGCGATGGCAGCCATTATTCGATACTCCCTTCTCACAGTTGGCTTCTAGACCTTCCTTTAGTTGTCCTATAGGTGGCTGGCTCAGGCTGTTGTTGGAAAATTCCAGGGGGGCAGGGCTCTCTATCCTTCAGCCTGGTGGGCCTTCCAGCCCCCGTCCCATCCCGAGGGATGTCGGCAGTGGGGCTAGGAAGATGAACCCCCCTCCGTCATTGGCCTTGTGGCCAGCCTGGCCTCCTTGAAGCCAGGGAGGGCCAGTTGGTTCTGGGCCCCTGATCACAGTGCTCTCTGGAGAACACGTGGGGAAAGGCAATCCCTCAGGTATCTAAGCCCCTGACCATAAAGGGTTTTAAAGGTAAGCACCAGCACCTTAAAACGAGTCCAGTATGCTATTGGCAGCCAGTGCAATGCCTTTAGTACAGGCTGGATGTGCTCCCCGTATAGGGAGTCCCATCAGAAGCCTGGCTGCAGCATTTTGTGCCTGCTGCATTCTGTGCAACTCAGCCTTTTCCAGTAGCCTCAAGGAGCTATGTTTTAGTGCATATCTTCATGCACTTTTATGAAATGGGCAATACTGCTTTTGAGCAAAGTACTTTCAGAAGGTTTATTATATAGTTTCTTTTATTTAAACAGTTATATCCCCCTATCCCTCTTGGTTTAAGGTAGCTTACAATAATAATTAAAACATCCCTAGCTGTAAACAAAGATAAAGTAACAAGCCCCAAATTTCTCCCCCTCCCTCTCTTAAAAGATGTCTGCTGTTCAAACCCCTCAATGCTTTGGCAAACAGGCAAGTCTTGCCGTGACTCCTGAATATCTCCAAGGAGGGGACCCTCTCACCTCTTCAGAGCTGGAACCATGATAGAAAAGGCCCAGGCTCTGGTCAATGCCAGACGAGCCACCCTAAGTGCTGTTAAGATAACAGATGGCTGCCTGATGATGATAGTTGACACACAGAGACACATGGAAGGAGATGGCCCTTCAAATATGTGGGTTGTAGGTTGTGAAGGGCTCTAAAGGTCATAAAGGTGATAACCAATGCTTTGAATAGAATTCAGAAACAGACTGTGAAGCTGTTTCAAAATGGGCAATATATGTTCCTGGTGGCTAGCCCTGGACAGCAGTTGGGCTGTCACATTCCAGACCACTTGTATGTTCCAGGTTGTCTTCAAGGGCAGCCCCACATATAGTGCATTGCAAAAATCCAGTTATGAGGTTACAGAAGCATGGATCAGCATGGCCAGATCAGCTGAGTCCAGGTAATAAGAAAGTTGGTGAATCAGATGCTGCTGACAGAAGACATCCCTGGCCACCATGCCAACCTGCTTTTCAAGTAGTAACGCAGGGTCCACGAGCACCCCCAGGCTCTTAACCTGCTCTGAAAAATCCAACATTACTCCATTTAGAACAAGTGGATTTAGTCCATCTAGAATATCAGCATTCTGGACCAGCATTATCTCTGTCTTGTCTGGATTCAGCTTCAGTTTATTTTGCCTTAGCCACCTGACCCCAGCCTCAAAGCACTGGTCCAGAACCAAAATGGACCCATCTGGAGGCTCGGATAATTTTTTTTAGAGCTGGGTGTCACCTGCGTATTGGTGACACGTAACCCTAAAGCTCTGGACAATTTCATTCAGTGACCTCATATACGGTATATATGTATGTTAAAAAGCATATGTATATTAAAAAGCATATGTATGAGGGAATAGAACCACAAGATAAATTCCACCCAGTGGATTCTGCATGTCTAGTGGAGACTCTTTGTGTCCAGTCAGACAGAAAAGAGTGAAACCACTGAAGGGCTGAATATGCAAGCGGGTGAATAAGAATGGAGGTAAATTGGAGGTAACTGGCCACCTCATCCCTAGCCAATGAAGGTTTTTTGAGAAGAGGTCTAATAACTGCCTCCTGAAAAGGCCTAAGGAGAGCCTTCTTAACCAGGAAGGAGTTGATTATTTTCACCAGTGGCTGCAGCAGGATCTGCTGGCACAGGACTCAAGCATCTTCAGGAGTGAATTTTCACTGGGATTCACTTCTCTTCAGTACTCCTGTTCACTGAGAAATCCTGCTTAAAATTAAATTGTTTTTAAGTTCTTACTGTGTGTGGGAGATTCATATGCTTATCTTGGCTGAGCTATCGAGTGTTTAAAGGCTGCAAGAAAAAACTTCTGAATATTGCTGTATTTGGGATGTCATGACTGCATTGTTTTTAGAAAGAAGTCAAATGATATTTTAATGGAAATTTTGGTATTCAAACAGATACGGCGACTGCCATCCAGTATTTTTTATCGGCTCATTAGAGGCTGCTTTTCAAGAGGCCTTCTATGGGAAAGCGAGAGATGTAAGTCCATTTTTAGAATTACACTGCTAAGATGAAAGGAAAGCTGTCTATAACATTCCTTCTGGACTAGGCATAGGCAACCCCTGGCATATGTTCCAAACTGTGGCAAGCCACACCATTCTGCTCAAAACACAGGACTAGGGTTGCCCCTGAAGTGCTGGCAGTGGCTGCTGAGACTCAGTTTGTTCCCAGTGTTTCTCCCTTCCCCCATTCGTTTGCTGGCATACCACCGTTTTCACTAGTAGACACTCTGCTTTTTCTGGCACTCTAGCCAAACAAAATTGCCTTCCCGAGCTCTATATGCTGCACTTATTCCCTATTACACATTTGTAGTGCTGCAAGGTGGCTTCTACGTTGAACTTTAGGATTAGGCAGCTCTATCCAGTTCCTATTCCCCAAGTAGTCCCCTCTGGAATTTTCCTGTATTATGATATCAGCTTCTTCCTAGTGCCAATGTAGCAGTGGTAGGAGGATGAAATATGAAAACTGTGGATTTGTGTACTGGAATTTTGAAACCATACACATGAACTGCAGTATACTAAAACTGGCCATTGGTACATCAAGGTCAGTATTGTCTACTCAGACTGGCAGCAGCTCTCCAGGATCTCAGGCAGTGATCTTTCATGTCACACACTACCTGATCCTATGATTCTGTGATCCTTTTACCTGGAGATTCTGGGGACTGAATCTGGGACTTTCTGCATGCAAAGCAGATGTTCTTCCATGGTTGCTAGGTCTCCCCTGGCCACCAGTTGGGGATGGGGGGTAGGGTTGCCAGATCCAGTTTGGGAAACTTCTGGAGATTTGGTGGTGGAACCTGGGGAGAACAGGGATCTCCGTGGGATACAATGCCACAGAATCCACCCACCAAAGCATACATTTTCTCCATGGGAACTGATTTCTATAGTCTGGAGATGAGCTGTAATTCTGGGGGATCCTCAGGTCCCACCTGGAGGCTGGTATCCCTGGGAAGGAGCACCTGTTGAGTTATAATCGGGAATGAATCAGGAATGTTTGTGTAATGTCATGTAAACTGTCTAGCCTGAACTCTGAAATAATCACTGCAGGGTCCTCTGTGTGAAGTGAGGAGGGCTGCCACAAGGGAAAACCGTTTCTGCTATTGTTTCCCTTCTCTTGAATACCATTCCATTGAATGCCCTTATGTCCCCCTCCCTAATCACCTTTCAGGGACAGCCCAAAACCTGGCTATTTGGTCAAGCACTTTGCCGATTTTCTGTTTCTTCTTTAGAGTTTTTACTGTATTGGCTTTTTTATGCTAAGTACTATAGTATTTACTGATGGTATTTTATTGTTTGATTTTATTGTAAGTCTTTTCAAACACAGAGTTGGACAGGTGAAGCAGAAATATTTTAAATAAATTGAGAATCTACAGAAGAAGGAGGCAGGGCCATTTTGTGAATTACAGACTTCTCTCTGTAGAGGGACTACTCCCCCCCCCAAACAGACATGAGTCATAGCTAGGAAACAGGGTTTGAATTGAGCTCTACAAAGGTCAGCATTACTAGGCTGTTATTTGCATAGGTTTTTCTATGAGTTCTTTTATTTCCTTTTAAAAATTATTTCCTCATTTATCTTTCTTTTTCTTCCTTCCCTTTTCCCTACTAACTTGTAAGCACCAGCCTTAATGGGGCTACACTTTGAACCCATGGCCAAAATTATCTTGAATTATTTGACTCTCAAAAAACCTCCTTTCCTAGTAGCCATCACATCAGTTAGGTGATTTTCAGAACTGAGAGTACTATCAGGATGTGCATTTGGCATAAATTTAGCCAAAAAAATACCCAAAAAATACTGGTAAGGTATTATTTCAGCCAATCACAGATCAGGGGATCTGATTGGTTACTGGTATAGCTGAGCCTGAACAAAGCTGAATTATTATTATTATTTGGCTTTTATTCGGGTACATTTAGCTATACTGAATGGGTAGCGGGAGCTGAGAGCTCAATACCGCCTCTGCTGGGGGTGGCTTCTCTTGCAGTTCAGTTTAAATCGAGCTCCAAGACAGGATCAACTGGGGTGGCAGGAGCTGAGAGCTCCATGTTGCCTTGGCTGGGGCTGGCTCCTCTTGCAGCTTGGTTTAAACCAAACTGCAAGAGGAACCGTGCCACAGGAGAAGCCCTTCCAGTAATGTCTGCGTACGTTGGCGAGAGACCTCCCCACTGCACTCAGATCCTGGGGACAGGTTCTCCTGTGGCACCGTTTAAATCATACCGCAAGAGATGCCCTGTAGCCAGGTCTGCATGTGGTGGTGAGAGACCTCCCAGCTGCATGCAGATCCTGGGGCCAGCTTCTCCTGTGGCACGGTTTAAACCATAATGCAGGAAAAGCTGTTCCAGCGAGGTCTGCGTGCAGCAGCGAGAGACCTCCTCACCACATGCAGATCCAGGGGACAGCTTCTCCTGTGGCACGTTTTAAACCACACTGCGGAAAAGCTGTTCCAGCCAGGTCTGCATGCGGAAGCAAGAGACCTCCTCACCACATGCAGATCCAGGGGCCAGCTTCTCCTGTGGCACGGTTTGAACCACACTGCAGGAAAAGCTGTTTCAGTTAGGTCTGCGTGGGGCAGCGAGGGACCTCCCCGCCACATGCAGATCCAGGGGACAGTTTCTCCTAACATGCTGCAGGAGAAGCCAAGCCAGTCCCAGGGTCAGGCTGGCTTTTTAAAAAAAATGGCATTTTTCTTCTTGGGTCTATTGGACCAGAAAAATTTGGGATTTCTGAAAAATCCCAGATTCAGATACCATACTGGTATTGGGATCTGGGATTTTTCAGAAATACTGATTCTTTTCCCCAGTCCAATAGACCCAAACCGAACAAATGCCAAAAAATTTTTGCCCACCCCTAGAGGTACTATCTCCTAATGTAAACCTGTGTATGTTTCTACCCTGGGAAGAAGGGGCCTCTTGATTATTTCATCAGTCACATGATTTAGAGATTAAACAACAAGATCAGAATTGTCATGAGGTTGATGTCTGGAGGGCTCTTCAGTTTTATCTGGACAGAACTTCCTGTATCAAAAAGGCATCATTTATGTCATCCCAGGAGTCTCTCATATCCAGTGTTTCCCCTAAGCTGAGTTAGTGTGAGCTAGCTCACAGTTTTTTAGCCTCCGGCTCACACATTGTTGTCCCAGCACAGGAAGGATGGCTCCAGAGCAAACTAATGTATGCAGTAGCCAAATTGCTCGCTCACAACTTTAATGCCAGTAGCTCACAAAGTTGAATTTTTGCTCACAAGACTCCACAGCTTAGAGGGAGCATTGCTCATATCCCAAAGGTTTTAAAGTGCCCTCTAGCCTCTCCTGCCAAACCCCCCGGAATTCTTGTTGTGAATTTTAGAAAGGAAGGCATATGACCCGCCACTGTCATTTCAAAGTGGTATTGACCTGTTTTGCTGAACAGCAGGCTATATGTGGGAAGACAGAGACTCCTGGGTTCAGTTACACACACACAGATATTCTTCAGAGCTGGCTTTCTATTATAGATTTAGTATAGTGTTGATGTTATGGGCCAAAGATCTGTAAGGAGAAGCCTGTCTATAGAGAAAAGTCTGGACCTGCTTCTGAAGGAAGGACAACCCTTAAGGTTTTTAAATGACCTCTTTTGAGAACGGGAATTCAGAGTTAGAATTTCCCTTTTTTCTTTCATTCCATATAATTTGAGGTACTTGATGATAGACCTGATGGAGGTTGATGTACTTGAGAAATTTTCTCACTCTATTAAACATAATGCTTGAAAAGACTGTGATCCTGTTTGCATGGGATTCATTGCTGATATGACCTATGCATAAATAATTGTTACCTTAGCATACAATTTCAAATGTTCCACCAGAGCACAGAAAAATGAGTATATACTTCCAACAGTTAATATAATATGACATTGTAGAAATAGCTTCCCAGTGTTTTACATGCACCTTTTATCTCCATAATAGAAGCACACCTTCAAAACCAATTACTCAAAGAAGATACTTCATTAACAAACATAAAATTATCTTGTTGTCTTACTTTGTTTCTAGGAAGAAGATTATATAGTGGAAAGCTTCAGTTGCCAATTACTTTTCTTATAAACCCATATTAGCCACTAAATGGGTCAAGTAACTGCTTGAATAATACCAGCTCTAGGACAACTTTTACCTTATTGCTGTTGTTTGCTGGCTTTTTCAAACCTTGTTTTCCTAAAGGAAAGGTTGTATAAGGGATAGCTATTACAAACTAGTCATCTTTTTTATAAAATTCCCAAACTATATATTTTGTCTATTGAAAAAATGGAAATCTGAAACCATATATTTTAATTTGAACTGTGGAGGGCACTTAATTTTACCAGGGCAACAGATGAGCTTCAAGCAATAGCATTCTTAACTTGAAGTGAGAAATTGAGTTCGCAGAGTAAATAAAAACAAGATTGAAGGTTTAAATCCTCTGCTAGGCTTTTTGAACTTATATGCTCATTAAATGTTTATTGGAGTGGCGGGATTACGAAGGATTTGGAGAGCTTCATCAACTGGAATATAGTTAATCACTAAGTAAAACACTACATTTGATAAAGTGTTTCTCACGATGCCACACTCAATCCATCTTAATGAAAACCACTTCAAACTGATTTAATTTGAGAGCACTTCGCAGCCAAGAGTGCATGTAGACCTTGTTCTTTTTCATAAGGAATTTTCACTGTTGTCTGAGCCGAGGGTGCTCTGTACAAATTCATCTTCAGTGATTGAACAAGAACCACTTTCTTTTAGCTTGCTTTCCTTCATGGGTAAAACATCTAGTAGATTTTATGACTATAAAGAAAGATGAGAGCTGATTTAAACACAAAAAATTAAAGCAAAAAATAAGTTATTTTTTTCTTAAAACTTTAGTTTTATGTGTTAAAACTACAGTGTGTTGTCATTTGATATTCCATTTTATCAATAAGAATGCATTATTGTAGCTAAATTTAAACTTTATTGACAACCTTAGTTTTAGAATGTTTTGTGGTTCT